CCTGGATCCTTCTCCTCTCCAGGTGAGCCCCCCCAGCTCTCCCTGGATCCTTCTCCTCTCCAGGTGAGCCCCCCCAGCTCTCCCAGCCCTGGAGCAGCTCCGGGGGCTCCTCAGGTGTCTCCTGCTCAGAGCTGCGCGCGGTGCTGCTCCCTAGCACAGCCTCAGCAGCATTTCCACCTCTGAGCTCAGTCCCGAGGGGACGGGGCCGTTCCAGCTGTGCCTGCCCCGTGCCCCCCGTGCCCCCCGTGCCCCCCGTGCCCCCCGGCCGCTGTCGCTCACCAGGAGCGGGACTTGCGCACGCGGGAGGCCGCCGGCCGCTCCAGGAGCCTGTCCAGGTGCATCAGCCTCTCGAGGTGCAGCGCCCGCGGGTCCTGCTCCGCCGGCTCCCTGCTGCGCTCAAACTCAAAGATGGCCGGGGGGGACAGGTCCAGCTCCAGGAACATGATGTTCTCAGCCTGCCCAGGGCACAGGGACGGCCAACACGGAGTCACCGTGGGGAGAGCACGGCCCCAGCTCCGCTGAGCCGCGCTGCCGGGGCAGCGGGAGCCTCTCCTGGCTGCCCTGGCCCCGGGCTCTGGCTCTCCCAGCCTGTCCCAGGGCTGAGCAGCCCTGTCCTTCCAATGGCAGGAGAGCCAGGAGCTGGGAGGATAAAGCTGGGAGCTCGAATTGCTGTATCCCAGATCCTCGTGAGCTTGTTTTCTCCATCTTCTCTCCCAGTGATGTCCATCCCTCCACCCATCCAGTCACCATCTGCCTTCATCCATCCACCTCTAGCTCTCCATCAGCTCCATCCATACACCCACCCATCCACACATTCACAAACATCCACCCATCCACCCATGGGTCCACCCATAGACATCCATCCACATATCCATCCATCCCTCCCTCCATGGATCCATCCATCCCTCCCTCCATGGATCCATCCATCATCCATCCATCCATCATCCATCCATCCATATCCATCCACCCATCCATCATCCATCCATCCATCCATCATCCATCCACATCCATCCATCCATCCATGTATCCATCCATCCATCCATCCATCCATCCATCCATCCATCATCCATCCACATCCACTCATCATCCATCCATCCCTCATCCATCCATCATCCATCCATCATCCATCCATCCATCCATCATCCATCCATCATCCATCCATCCATCCATCATCCATCCATCATCCATCCATCCATCCATCACCCATCCATCATCCATCCATCCATCCATCATCCATCCACATCCACCCGTCATCCATCCATCCATCCATCCATCCATCCATCC